AATCTCTCTCTTCGCCATTCAACCTCTGCAGCTTTATGAAACTCTCAGAGGAGAACAGGCTAGTTATTTCAAAAGAATCAGACACAGAGGGAAGACAGGAAGGATGGATTAGGAGGCCCTTTAATAAGTGGGGGCCTTTCCCTCTTTTCATCCTCCCCCCATCTTGCAAAGGGACAAAATGGCTCCTGAAGCAGCAGCAGCAGCTCCCTCCGACTTACCCTGGTCTGAATTGTTGGATCCTTCCTCACTTGCTGGAAAAGAGAGAAAGAAAAAGAGAGTGAGGAAGTTCACTCTGTTGGCTTATAGATGGGAGAAGCTCAGCTCTTTCTGACTCCAGCTCTCTCCCTCCCTTTCTCTCTCACACACAATCACAGGAGCAGAAATACGTGGGGAGAGTTAATAATAACAACAACAAAGTTGGAAGGGACCTTGAAGGTCATCTCGTCCAACCCCCTGCTCAGGAAGGAAACCCTACACCATTTCGGACAAATGGCTGTCCAGTCTCTTCTTAAAAACTTCCAGTGTTGGAGCATTCACCACTTCTGGAGGCAGGTTGTTCCACTTGTTAATTGTTCTAACTGTCAGGAAGTTTCTCCTTAGTTCTAGGTTGCTTCTCTCCTTGATTAATTTCCACCCGTTGCTTCTTGTCCTGCCTTCAGGCGTCTTGGAGAATAGTTTGACTCCCTCTTCTTTGCGGCAGCCCCTGAGATATTGGAAGAATGCTATCATGTTCCCCCTCATCCTTCTCTTCATTAAACTAGACATACCCAGTTCCAGTAACCGTTCCTTATATGCTTTAGCCTCCAGTCCCCTAATCATCTTTGTTGCTCTTCTCTGCACTCTTTCTAGAGTCTCAACATCTTTTTTACATCGTGGTGACCAAAACCACATACAGTACACATACACACATACACCCTTAAACACATACACATGCACACGCACACACCCTTCAAGTGATGGCACCTCTGGTCCCTGCTCTAAGTTGGAGATTACATGTAAACAGGACAAGTCACTCACTTGGTGCTGCTCTGTGGCCATCTTGAGGTCTCTCTGCAAAGACAAAAATCAGTGAAAGCCCAAAAGAATCCACCAGAGATCATCCAAACTCTCCCTCTGTAGGAGGAAGAACCCCATGAGATATTTCACAGTCCCTTTGACCCCTCAACAAAGACACAAAGATCTTCAAAATACAAAAGTATCTCCTGATTTGCCCCAAGGGAGACCTGCTGCCTCCGAGAGGGACGGAGGGGAATTGGGGGAAGCAGCAGTAGCAGCTGGGAGGGGAGGAAGATTTTCATGGAAATCCTTTGTCAATGCTGCTAATATTGAATATTCTTGCTTTGACAAAATATGCAGAATGTCTGGTACTTTTAGAGTTAATTCAGATGAGAATGGGAGAGGAGGGAAAAGCGAGCAAGGGAACGGAAGTGAATCTTTGCCCTCCAGGTTAATTGGAAGATGTGAATCATGACCCCAAAATAGGGGAGGGGAAATGCCTAGAATGTTATGTGCAAAGGAAAGGAAATTCAGATCTTGGCATTCCTCCATGCCGTGCTAACACTCCGTTACACTAATAAAGGCTTTTTAGGTTAAACAATGCCTGAAAGTTCTTTGAAGTGTTTCATTAGTCAGACACATGAGATCATGCCAAGATCTACAATTTTTTTAACCATTTAAGGGGTCCCGGGCCACGGTCACTATTACTAAACTAAAGGGATAGGCTGACAAAGATTCGGGGAAGATCTCATTATGGAAGAAGAAAGATTGCCAGAAGCATGACATCCTTCTCTGCTGCTCTTCAACCAAAACCTTGGAAAGGGACAAAACTGGGATGCCTCTTCCCAGCTCAGAAGAAGACGGGACTGTCCAAACCTCAGACTCAGACATGTCAAGACTGGAGTCCCAGCAAGAGGCCGAGATCTCAGGTGCTCCCCAAGAGGGCTGGGGAAACAAGACAGGAGGAAGCCCAGAAGAAGCTCCCCAAAGAGAGAGACTTGGGAGGAACCTCCCCATCTTCCTTCCATCACCCAGAAAAGGATACTTACTAAGAAATACCAAGATCCCAACAATCGCACACATCATCAGGACAAGGCCAGCCACAACGCAGCCGACGATGAGCCCCAGGTTGGATTTTGGCTCTGAATTGGGAGAAAGAGCAGATAATCAAAGGAGAACCTCAATCAATCATCCCAATTAGGGGAGAGACCTAAAGCAGCGAAAGCTGGAAATTCCCCAAATTAAAAACTCCATGGGCTCCTCTTCATGTCCCTCTAAGGAAAGCATGAAGGCGCCTTGCTAACCATTGTTTAGAGGACGTGTCCTCATGTCTCTGCCTTCTTCTCACACCAGCCCAGCATGAAGGCAACTGAATTCAGCTTTAGCTCTTCAGCTCAAAAACAGCTGTTTGCAACTTTGTGACTCTCAGCAGCTTACAAAACAAAAACTTCACCCACACAGTAATATAAACAAAATGTGTTAAACAACAGTTTTGTTCTGTTTATAGGCTGCTATAAACTCTGGGTGGAATTGGGCAGCCTGAAGCCAATTCTATTTATTGTTCCCTGCAGCTTCACCAACCTCAAACATGGGGAAAACCAAAGGCTCAGGTATCTTCACATCTGGACACAGCTGGGGTGAGATTTCCCTCCCACATCCCTGTCAAAGAGCCCAGCCTTTCCCTCCCTGCAGCCTCTCACCCTCCAGGGCCACGTCCAGAGACTCCTGCAGGCCGTTGTGTTCCACGTGGCACCGATAGCGTCCCCTCTCTTTGGGATTGATCCAGATGCTGAGCCAGGCGTGGAAGGTCCCATCCGCGTTGGGGACCACGGAGCCACGGAAGGTGTCCTGCAGCCAGACCTCCCCGTCCCTCGTCCAGGAGGCATCGATCTCCCTGGGGTAGAAGCCATCCAGGCGGCAGACGTGCGTCTCCATCCCATCCTCCACCTCCGTCTTGCTGCTCATGGTCACCTCTGGGGGCTCTGCAGAAATGGCACCCCCAGAATTAACTCTGAGCCCCTCCAGAGCCTGGAAGGTGGATGGGAAACTTGAAGGGGCAGGAAAGTCTCCCACTACTTCCCACTCTATACCTGCAGCGTCTCCAAGAGTTTTAGGAAATGCTCCAGATCTGGAAAATGCTCAACCACAAGGACTCCTGATTCTGAGTCTTTCCCAGGGACTCAGCCTGAAAAACCTCCGGCAGCAAATTGAGGATCCAAGGAAATTCCTCTCTGGCTGCTTTAAACTCTGGGTGATCTTGGATTGTTTCCTTCAGGGGAGGGAAAGTGGAGCTGCTCTTTTAAGTTCCCTTTCAAGACAACAATAACGCAGAAGTTTCTCCCTACTTTTGGGGTCTTCTTCTGCTCCCCTGGATCTGAGGCAGCTCCAGGCCTCTTTCCAAGGGACACAACCACAATTTCAAGAGGAGGAAAGCCGGAATCATAGCAAAAAGGGGTTCAGGGCTTTTGGACTCTCACCCTGGTTAATTTGGAAAAGAGATTCTGCCTATCAAAGGGAGGCAGCGAGAGAGGTGAAGCCCATGGAAGAGAGAGACAGTCCTTCCAGGCAGGGAGGGGCTGTTGGTTATTGTAGAGCAGGGATAGGCAATCTTGGCTCTTTTATGACTCGTGGACTTCAACTCCCAGAATTCCTGAGCCAGCATGGCTCAGCTTGGAAACCTCTCCCTTTCCCCTCAACGTGGCTGGCTCAGGAATTCTGGGAGTTGAAGTCCACGAGTCATAAAAGAGCCAAGGTTGCCTACCCCTGTTGTACAGGGTGGTTATTTCCTAACGCAGGGGTGTCAAACTCGCAACGTCACGTGACGTGTTGCGACGAATCCCGACTTGTTTCCCATTGCCAGCAATGGGGTGGGCACAGTTTTGGCGTGACACATCTGGCCCGTCCGCCAGCAGTTTGACACCCCTACCCTAATGCATCCTGATCTCCCCCAGCTGATCCTGAAGAGATCAAGGAGCCCGGAGGGGAAGGGGTTGATCCAGGGGGGAGGGAGGAGGAGTCTAGATGGAAAAACAATAAGAGTAACAATAATCACAGGAAACAATTATAATATGAGCCCCCCTGTGGGGTGAGGGAGTGTTCCTGATGGTGGGGAGGGGATTGTTCTGAGGCAGTGGTGGCGAACCTATGGCATGGGTGCCAGAGGCAGCACTCAGAACCCTCTCTGTGGGCACGCGTGCCATCGCCCCAGTCCTAGGCCTTTAGCTGGGTTTTATAAAACCTTTTCGCTTTAGGCCTCTGCCGCCATGTGCCCCGCCCCTAAAAAAGGTTCAATCAGTCAATTTCAACTTCTCGCAGAAAAAAAAAGATCTTGCAAAGTTGGAATTGATTGATTGAACTTTTTAGTCCCACCCAGTCTGCCGTTACCACCGCAGCCATGCCCACCCAATTGGCCATGCCCACCCAATGGGCCACACCCACCCGGCACTCGACGATGCATAAGTGGGTTTTGGGTTGCAGTTTGGGCACTCGGTCTCTAAAAGGTTCGCCATCACTGTTCTGAGGAAAGGCTCGCTATGTCAGAATTGTGGGGATAGGTTTGAGGTTTATCCACAGAAATTTTGGGGCTTTCTTTCCCCCACTGGGAAGGAAAGAACTCCTTACCATAGCCTCTTCGGCCCAAACAGGGGAACTGATGATGAAATCATCACTGGGTGAAATCCAGTGAAGTAAAGGCTAATAGATTGGTCAAAAGGTTTCATGTGAAACACCCCAACAAACCGAAAGATAACCCTTAACATTATGCTTTGGTTTGCTTTACAGGATCTGTCCTTTTTTGTAAGGGGGGCCGGATGTCAACGCTGCAAATACTGTATATTCTTGCTTTGACAATATACAGAACTGTCTGGTATTTTTATAGTTAAATCAGGCAACAGTGAAAGGGGAGAATAAGGAAAGGGGGGGGGGAGAAACCGGAAGTAAATCACATCTTCCAAGTTAATTGGAAGATGTGAACCATGACCCCAAAATAGGGGAGGGAAAAATGCCTGGAATGTATGTGCAACGGAAAAGGATCTCAGATCTAAGCATTTCCACCATGCCGTACTGACATCTCTGTAACCTTAATAAATGCTTTTAGGATAAAAATATGCCTGAAAGTCCTTTTAAGTGTTTCGTTAATCAGACACATGACACTCTTATTAATGATAGAAGTGGAGCCTCCTAGTGGTGGGAATGAAAGGTGCATCATCAGGTACAGGGCAGGGAAGGAGCCCCCTGTGGGATATGGAGAGAAGGAGAGTTAATGGGGAGAAATTAAGGGAGCCCCTCACACTTGACTACAGTGTGGCTAATGGGGGATTTCCCTGAAGAACCAAAAATGCCCCTGTTGCCTCATTGTGGTTGTGAAGAGGACACTCCTGAGTGCTTTTGCTGCCTGATCCACACAGACACCCGCCAGGCAGAGGGTGCACTTCCTGGCAGCCTGACAGTGGGAACCCAACAGGGCTTGGAGAGATTCTAGAAGGAGAGGGGGAGGATTCTCACCAGGGCAAACAGGCTCTAGACCAGGGACCCAAAGGGGACAAACATATCCAAGAAATCCAGCCATAAAGGAGGAAAGTCCAGCCTGGATCCAGATGATCACCTGCCCTGAGCAGCGTCTCCTTCCCGTAGGACAGGTGCTTCTCCAGCCACTTGATGCAGACGTCCTCCAGGTAGGCCTTACGTCTCTGATTATATCCTGGAATATCGTCCCATTTCCTCTGGGTGATCCGGGCCTCCGGGTCGGGAGCCACCCAGGTGAGGGTCTCCTTGTCGAAGGTGAGGAAGGTCCTCCCGTCGTAGCCATATTGCTGAAACGCTCCTTTGCTCCCGTCTCTCCGGAGTTCACAGCCAACCATCCTCTGCCATGTGTGAAGGCCTGAAACAGGGGCAAAATGATGGTTAGGGGAAACCGGTCAGTCCTAGAGGAGATCAACCCTGACTGCTCTTTAGAACAGGGCTTTTCAACCAGTGGTACGGGTACCACCTGTGGTACATTGGCACCTGGCAGGTGGTACGCGACCATCCTAGAAAAGTGGTAGCGGGGGAGGNCTGGTTAATTGTCCTCACTGTTAGGAAGTTTCTCCTTAATTCCAGGTTGCTTCTCTCCTTGATTAGTTTCCATCTGTTGCTTCTTGTCCTGCCTTTTGGTGCTTTGGAGAATAAGTTGACCCCCTCTTCTTTGTGGCAGCCCCCTCAAATATTGGAATACTGCCATCATGTCCTTCTTTTTTCCTAGTCCTTCTTTTCTCTAAACTAGCCAAACCCAAATCCTGCGACTATTCTTCATACGTTTTAGTCTCCAGGCTTTTCATCATCTTAGTTGCTCTTCTCTCAACTTTTTCCAAGGCCTCAACATCTTTTTTTGTAGTGTGGTGACCAAAATTGGTGCAAGTATTCCAGGTGTGATCTTACTAGGGATACTAATACTTCACGTGGTTTTGATTCTATGCCTGTTTATACCACCCAGGATTGTATTAGCTTTTTTGGCTGCTGCCGTACACTGCTGGCTCATATTGAAGTAGATATGAAGATTAAATGAAGACTAAAGTTTAATGAAGATTAAAATTAATCTTATATTAATTTGGGGGGGAAAAGAATAAACATATTAAAAACTTTTTAAAATGTGTGGAAGCGGCCTTTCCCTTTGAAGGGACCTTCCTCCCCCCCCCTCTGGTTCCTGGGGACGGGATTTTGGGGCAGGAGAAGCCACCCGACCGATCGCTCACCTTTGCTCTGATTGTAGCGAGTCCTCGCAATCACCAGGTCTCTTGTGAACACCTCCTCTTCCTCACGTGCCATCTGGGTGTTTCTGTCCCAGTACTGGGGGTCGTCCTTCCCCACCTTCTCCATCCACGAGACTCGAGGCTGCATCTTCCGGCTGTTGCTGTCGTAGGAACTGAAGACCTGACCATCCACATCCCCCACAATAACATAATGGGGCAGCCCCTGACTGGGCTCCGAGATGGAGGTGACACAATACTTCAGGGAGTGCGAGGAGGCGCCTGGAAGGGACCCAGAGGGGCAGAGTTAGGGGGCTCCAGGTAAGGACCCAGATCCTATGGAGGCTCTGCTGCAGCTGCCAAAAAAGCCAACACACTGCTAGGCTGCATTAACAGAGGGATAGAATCAAGATCATTTGAAGTATTAATACCACTTTACAAGGCCACACTTGGAATACTGCATCCAGTTTTGGTCACCACGATGTAAAAAAGATGTTGAGACTCTAGAAAGAGTACAGAGAAGAGCAACAAAGATGATTAAAGGCCTGGAGACCAAAACATATAAGGTAAAAGATATAAGGAACAGCTGCTGGAATTGGGTATATCTACTTTAATGACGAGAAGGACGAGGGGGGACATGATAGCAGTGTCCCAGTATCTCAGGGGCTGCCAGAAAGAAGAGGGAGTCAAGCTATTTTCCAAAGCGCCTGAAGGCAGGACAAGAAGCAACGGGTGGAAACTGATCAAGGAGAGAAGCAACTTAGAACTAAGGAGAAACTTCCTGACAGTTAGAACAATTAACCAGTGGAACAACCTGCCTCCAGAAGCGGTGAATGCTCCAACACTGGAAGTTTTTAAGAAGAGACTGGACA